ATTTAAATTTACATTTTCCATTACCCACACGTGCAAAATTTGTTGCAAAAGGAAAATGAAAATGAAATTATATAATTTACATTTGCCATTTCTAACAGTAGTCTTAATATGTAAACTGAATACAAATTTTAACGCTTTATAAGTTGCATAAGTTACATATAAGTAAAATATATAACACAAATTGATTTGATATGTATAACATGTTCAAGCAGAAATGGTAGCAAAATGATCATTTAAATGCTATTTGTCCTAAATGCATTTAGACTAACAGTTAGAACACTTCAGATTGCATTTTCATCATGACGCCGTGGGATATTTGTAGCAAAATTCAGTGCGGCTTTGAAAATGCATTCCGAGCTGACCACGCCCACCCTCCGTCAATCATTGCTTCAAGGCGGGGATTGGCGGAATCGTGTTATGTTTGGATCGTTCGAAACATGGTGGCTCGAGATCTGATAAGCTCGTTGAATTCACTGGCAGATGAAGTATCCAGGAACATGTTGAAGAGATGAATTGTAATGCTTGTAATGTCCATTTATAGTCTTTACACAGCAGCTTGGCTCAATTTCAAGACGCTGATGTCACGTGGGTCACCCGCAGTGCAAGACGCTCAAAGCTCAAGACGTTCGGTTTCACGTTCGTTGGACATGTTATACATATCAAATCAATTTGTGTTATATATTTTCATTTTCATTTTGCAACTTATAAAGCGTTAAAATTTGTATGCAATTTACATATTAAGACTACTGTTGGAAATGGCAAATGTCAATTATATAATTAAATTTTCATTTTCTTTTTGCAACAAACTTTGCATGTATGGGTAATGGAAAATGTCAATTTAAATACAGAAATACATTGCCATAAATGATCCAAACGTAACACGCTTCCGCCAATCCCCGCCTTGAAGCAATGATTGATGGAGGGTGGGCGTGGTCAGCTCGGAATGCATTTTCAAAGCCGCACTGAATTTTGCTACAAATATCCCACGGCGTCATGATGAAAATGCAATCTGAAGTGTTCTAACTGTTAGTCTAAATGCATTTAGGACAAATAGCATTTAAATGATCATTTTGCTACCATTTCTGCTTGAACATGTTATACATATCAAATCAATTTGTGTTATATATTTTCATTTTAATTTTTGCAATAATATGTAATATGTTTTGCAATATATGCTTCCATACTAAATGAGCAAATGTTTCTATTTATTTTCGTTAAAGGTCCCCTGAAATGTTTAGAAACACGCAGCGTTACTCTATGTGCTGACGTCATTTTAACTGAAACAGGAAGACAGGGCGGGACATATCAAGCAGCCCCGCCCCTTTTTAAAATAGCCAATAGCGTTCGTTTATATCACAGCTTGGGCTAGAGCCGTTGAGCTCCATAAAGCCACATTTGACAGCCACAATCTCATCCATATTGCTATAAAACACAGCATTCTGTGTAGAATTCAAATCGCTCCGAAACATTTTGTGGTCTGCACCGACTACAAACTTGTATCTAAATATCTTACAGTTTAAATGTGCACAATGGCATCTTCCCTCATCTTACTCTACTGCCTTTCTAAGCTCTCAGATTTACACCTGAACAATAAAAAAACCTAGCAACCAGGCATAACACCCTAGCAACCACACGGCATTGTGCAAACAACCATTCAGAAGGCAAACAGATGCGTTTTTGAATTTAAGCGGTGAAAGATGAAAACAAGCTTAACACAGGCCAAATAAACTAAAGCGCGGTAAAAAGAGTGATTTTTGGTCAGTAGTTAAAGTGGGTCAGTGTGTGCTAGTGTGGCGCTGTGCCTTTAACATAATGACAATAATAATGAGTCCAGAAACCTCCTCCGCACCAGAGGAGTGCTTGGCACTGCTGCACGCCAGCACACTTGACCAGCTCTGCTGTTTCATGCAAACCTGCGTCTCTTCTGCTTGTCAGATGGAGGCTTTGGAAATGTGTGAAGTGAAACGAGAAAACGGGTCTAAAAAAGGTTTTAGTCAAAGATGAAGTTCAGGGTAGCTCTGCATCTTGCTTCGAGTGATGTTAAAGTCTTTAAGAACATTTCTGGCACTGGACAGGATTAAATGCACGCCTGTTACACAGACAGAGTTTTTAAGGACAGGACACTTGTAGAGCGACAGGAAGATGTTAGGAAGAAAGATGGAGACTGTTCTTTAGTAGCAAACAGTAAACTCATACAGGTTTGAGTCGGGGTTTAGTGGTTAGCACACATACTTGGGATGTTTTTAGCAAGCTTATTTAACTTTGAACTTAGTCTGGCTTTAAACTGCCCATATGTGATGTAATAATGTTCGCTTTGTTCTGAAAGTAAATCTGAGTTCAGTCATAAAACAATAATACAAACCATAGTAAATAAAACCATGTTTTTTTTTGTTTTTTTTTTGGTACTATAATATTATAAATCAAATGGTTTGGGGTTGGTATGTTTTTGAAAGAAATGCTCACCAAGGCTGCATTTAATTTATAGCTGTTTTCTATTTGAATATCTGTTAAAATATAATTTATTTCTGTGATGCGCAGCTGAATTTTCAGCATCATTACTCCAGTCTTCAGTGTCACATGATCTTCAGAAATCATTCTAATATGCTGATTTGCTGCTCAAGAAACAACTCTGATTATCAATTCTGAAAGCAATCTTTTGTAACATTATAAATGTATTTACTGTCAATAGGACTGCAAATTACTATTTTAAAATTACCACATATTAATGGGATTATGTGACACTTATAACAGCAATAAATTGATTTTCTATTATTTTTCCAGTTCCATAATGACTGGACAATTTTTTTACATTATAATTTTGTAGTTTTATAGAGAAATCTATAAATGTCTTTACTGTCACTTTTTATGAATTTAGTACATCTACATTTACATTTAAAATAGTAATTTTCCATAATTTTTCTGATTCTGATTCTTTGCAGAATTTGATTTCATTTAAATGAATTTCATTTAATTTTCTTTTGCATTTATGTTCTTTACATTTAATGTGTGTGTGTGTGTGTGTGTGTGTGTGTATATGTATATGTATATATATATATATATATATATATATATATATAATTATATATATTTAGTACATATATTTTAAAATTACCAAATATTTCTGGCTTTCTTTGACACTTATAATGTTATAACTTATAAAAGCAATCTTTTAATTTTCCATAATTTTTCCAGTTTGACTGGACAGATATTTTCATTATAATTTTGTAGTTTTACAGAGAATACACTTACAAAGAACAATGTTTAGCAAATAAAATATTTTGAGATTAGTAGATGAGTATAACTTTAAAGTTAATAATAATTTATATTTAAGTACATATAAATGTAAATGTTTTATAAATGTAATTTTTATAATTAAAATTATTTTGTAACGTTATAAATGTCTTTACTGTAATATTCGATCATCATCCTTGCTGAATAAAAATATGACTTTTTTCTTTCTAAATATTTCTTTTGAAGCTTTTGAAGTTTGGGGTATATCATGTATACTATACCGTTACCATTTGATGCCATCTTCGTACTCTTACATAATCTTTGTTGCACCTGTCTCAGGTGATCACGGATCTGGAGGAGCAGCTGACGCAGCTGACGCAGGAGAACTCCGAGCTGAACCGACAGAACTTCTACCTGTCCAAACAGCTGGACGAGGCCACGGACGAAAACGAGGACAGACTGCAGCTCAAGCAGGACGTGGAGCGCCTGCGCCGGGAGGTGGCCGACCGAGAGATGCACCTCAACAACCAGAAACAGGTAGAGTCCACACACACACACACACACACTCCCATCGGCAGGTGTGTGAGTCACAGACGCATGTGGACGCAGCGGTAGAGAGATGTAGGCTGAATTTAAGAGCCAGCCGCAGGTGATGAGCACTGCTTTAACAGATGCTGCTCTCTTTTAGAGGATGTTTAGCTGTCATTAGCGTCTTGAAAATGAGTGTAATGTAAGAATTTAACACATTAGGCGACTAAAAGGCGTTCTGTAAAACATTTCAAAACATTATTTCCAGTTCAAAATGCTCATTCATTCATTAAAAGTAAACTATAAAAGTGAAGCATTCTGGTATTTAGTAATAATAATGACCTGTAAATAGGAATATGGTAATAATGATGACATGTTAACATTGTTTAAAAGTTTGGGCTCGGTAAGATTAAATTATTTATTTTTTTAAATAAAGAAACAAATACTTTCATTAAACAAAGATGCATTAAATTGATCAAAAGTGACAGTAAAGATGTTACGAAATATTTCTATTTAAAATAAAATCTATTAAAATTACATTAATTTAAAATGTATTAAAATAAAATTTAGTTAACTTAAAAAAGGTATCCTCGTCTACTAGCTAGGCAAAAATTGTTAAAAAATTATCCAGTAATTATGAAAACTGGAAAAATCATGGAAAATTAAAAGATTGATGTCATAACATTATAATATCATATAATTTAAATATATAATATAAATATCTGGCAATTTTAAAATGGTCCTTTCCAGGCCTGGAAAAGTCTCGGAAATTAATAAAATAATTAAAACTAAATTGTTAAAAAAAAGAATGAAAACAAATGTAAATAAAATGTATTTATTTAAATTAAATCAAAAGGTGACAGTAACATTTATAATGTTGCAAAATGTTACAAAAATCATTTTCAACATTGATAATAATCAGAAATATTAGAATGAGTAATGATGCTGAAAATTCAGCTTTGATCACAGCAATAAATTATATTTTACAATATATTCACATAGAAAACAGCTATTTTAAATTGTAATATTATTTCCCAATATCACTGTTTTTGCTGTATTTCGGATCAAATAAATGCAGTCTTGGTGAGCAAAAGAGACTTCTTTCAAAAACATTAAGGTATCTTATCAGCCTCAGACTTTTTAAACTGTTGTGTAGGTGGTCATGAAGTCATTTATTTCTCAGTCTGATGTCCAAAAAGTTATGGAAGATTGCAATGCATCATAAATGCAGTTTAGTTTCAGTAAAAGCTCTCTTTCCTGTGGAAGACTTTTATATGATATAATATAGTACAGTACGTTTTCATAATTTCTCATGATATGACTGTTTTACGGTTTGAAAATGAATGAAACCACACATGAACAGCAAATCACAGCTGTCCTCTTCAGTGCCAAAACAAAGCTGTTTAATTAGCTGGAAAATGATGCTCGCAGGTTCTATTGTTTTGCGTGATGATGCCGCAGCGAGATGTGGAGAGGTGTGTGTGTGTGTGTGTGTGTGAGGTGATGTAGGCGCGTAGGACGCGTGTGTAGGTGTGCAGTCCTTGCTGTTGTATAACAGTAGCGGATGGTAATCATAGACGCTGGTAGGAGGCAGAGATGTGTCATATTCACTCGCTGCTCCCCTCTGCCCTGCCAGCGTTGGACTTCACAGGGGCAAAAGCATGCCGGCTATATTTGGAAACTCTCTCTCTCCTTCTATGTCTTTCTGAAATGTGGTAATATCCAGTCCTGCCACTGAGATGCACTTCTGAGCACATCTGCCCAATTCAAGACACCCTCGATCCCCCCGCCGGCTCTCTGAGGATCAATTCCAATTGGCAGCGACTCTGAGATCCGGACCTGCTAATGAAAGTCAAAAAGAAAAATCTGCAGCTTCATTTCTGCATCTATCAGCATCATTTCGGTGTCATATCCTGCAGTTCCTTAGATGCCATCTGTTGGTTTGCAGCAGATGTATTGAATAAGTTATCGTCATCGTCACAGAGAAAACAGAAATATCTGGCCCTTTTAAAATGGTCATTTCCATGCCTGGAAAGTCTTTAAAAATTTCAAATTGAATAAGAATTTAATTAATAAAAATTTACAAAACCTTAAATTATTACAGTCTCTAAAAATCATGGAAACTTCTGTAATAACAATAAATGTAAATAGAAAAAGATTAATATGATTTAACGTTATATTAAACCTTAAAAAATTTATTACAATTTTTATTTTAAATAAATAATATTTTATTTGAATAAAATATTCAAAAAAACATTATGCTCATCTACATTTCCAGGCCTGGAAATAATGGAATTTAATAATGAAATTAAATAAAATTAATTGTAATTAAATGAAATTAAAATTATTTAAAATTTATTTAAATACAATTTATTTAACTTATAAAATAATAGCTTGGAAAAGTCTTGGAAATTATTAAAATCATTCAAATAAAACGGAAAACTCTATAATGAAAAATAAATGTAAATGAATTAGATCAGATGTATTTAGCTTAAATTATAATAGAATTCAAATTAAATTGCATTTATTTAGATAAAATGTATTTAACTTATTAAAAATGATAAATTTCCAGGCCTGGGAAAGTCTTGGAAATGAATAAAATCCTATAATAATAATAATAATGAAACTTCTCTAATAACTTCTATAATGAAAATTAATGCAAATAAAATGAATATGTATTTAACTTCAAATTAAAATGAAATTACATTAGTTTAAAATTTATTTAAATAAAATGTTTTTACTAGTAAAAAGTTATAGTCATCTACAAAATCGAAACATTTTATCTGCTAGACATTGTTATTTATGAATGTATTCTCTCTAAAACAGCAAAATAATTATTATAAAATAATAATTATGAACAACTGGACAATTCAAATTAAATGATTGTTGTTTGAGTAACACTATTATCAGTGCATTTATATGCTACAAAATGTGCCCACTGTGATAGTCTGATAGCATAGAAATGACGTGCTTGTGTGTGTAGAACATCGAGACGCTGAAGACCACATGTACGATGCTGGAGGAGCAGGTGCTGGAGCTGGAGACGCTGAACGATGAGCTGCTGGAGAAGGAGAGACAGTGTGAGAACTGGAGATCTGCCCTGGAAGAGGAGAAGAACCAGGCGGAGCGCAGAGCCAGAGACATGCAGAGACAACTGGACAACGAGAAGCAGAACAGGTATCGAAGCACACACGTTTGACTGTGAGAGCTGGACGACAGCTGGACAATGCCAGAGTCATGGCCTAACGGTTAGTGCATGACACAGACGCCTACATAATGAGCCATGAGTTTGAGTCTGGGTAGTCAAAAATAACATTTGTGACCCTGGACCACAAGACCAGTCTTAAGTCGCTGGGGTATATTTTTAGCAATACTCTTCCAGGATCAGTAAACAGTCCTCCATAAAATGTGCTGCACACATCTGGATATTTGGGTTGAACTGTTCTGGAACGGTGTTGTAAATACAACTTAACCACTGATTTCTAGTCGTGTCCTCTTTTGGAAGACCAAACAAAGTAGTTTCGCTCTCACAACGAACAACACAGCGGCCTAGCGTGAGGGGAAGCCCCGGCTTAGCGTGCACTGAGGCCGGGATAGAGTGAGCTGAGGCCGGGACAGAGTGAGCTGAGGCGGCGGGTTCATGAACGGCGCACCCGGCGGATGCGACGAATGAGCGGCAACCACATGTGACGGACCCCGGGCTGGACTCCGCTTTATCCACGGTGAAAGTTGATGTATTCCCTCAGCGACCAGCACAGATCAGCTCCAGGCATGACGAAGCGGATATCGTCCTCTTTTGGAAGACCAAACAAAGTAGTTTCGCTTTCACAACGAAGCACACAGCGTCTTCACGACATGGCTGCAGCGTCAACAATAATACAGCGAGAATAAAAGTTACGCCTTCTTTCTTTGCGTGAACATTTGGGCGGCGTTATGCAAATCTTCCCACATAGTGACGTAGACATGTGGGGGCGTGTTAGAACGAGCCGTTTTAGGTAGGCGTGGTTGACTCTTAACTTTTATAAAGAATATCTCTTTGGATTTGAGACTTTAGTCTTTGCAACTTTACAGATCTTCTTTATGCACCAAGAGCTT